CACCCCACCCTAATGGATCTGCCAAAGCAGAGAGTGACATCTTACAGGTGGTTTAACAGAGAGGCTTCCTTGCCGAATATATTCGATTGCAGCCTCAATTGAGGTCAGGCAGTATCCCAATTCATCTTTTGCTGAGCTGCTAAACCTGAAGTTCTTAATATAGCTCAAATTTGCCATCCTAATAAAAGAAAGGGAAAACATTTGATCACTATATACCCAATGAACACTTCAGAAAAAGTGAAGCTGTCCAATATCTAAAGGAAGACAAGTTCAGGAACTATGACAGTTACCCAATTGATCTCTAGAGTGTGTGCAATTAGGAAACAAAGTAAAACTACTCTGATTCTTCTAGAATTGGCTAGTTAGAAAGTGGATTATTGTAAAATGAGCTGGCCAGTCTCAGGGAAGAGAACGGGGATTTGAGGTTAGAGGACTGGCATCAGCTTCCCACTGAGCCATCGACTAGCTGTGTGCTTCAAACTAGAAATGTCAGTTCTGTGGGCCTTGGCTTCCCATCTGGAAGGAAGGACAGCCTCACAAAGTGCAGGGTGGAGGGCCCAGCAGATGAGCTGAGGCCATCACTGAGGGAGGCGGCACTCCGTTACAGCACCTCCTCCTAGAAGAGCTCACTCATCAAGTCAGAACCAACTGGGAATCACAGGAAGAAGAGATGACTCATCTTGCTTCCGTGCAATTTCCCACCTGCTGGGCCACCACTGCTCCCTCCAGATCCCCCTAGAGTGACACGAAATCCTATCACCACACTGTGCTATCACTCTGTGAAAGGGTTTTAGCAAAAGACATTACCAGTTGGGGATCTCTGTTTTCACGAGCAAATATAACAGGACTGACAGCAGATCATCAGCACACATGGTCTCCAAGTTAACTGAAAAGGGGGGGGGGGATCCAAAGGCCATTATGAGACTTAAATACACCAACGAACATCCTGCTTCCCCTCCCACCACCCAGGAAACAATCATAGCAGCGAGATTTCACATGGGAGGAATGTGACTGCACATATCCCGCTGTGTTTGTCCTGTTGTCAAATCCAAGATAAAAACAATGCCTGGCATTTTTCGGAACACGCCCAGGAAGAGCGACCTCCAAGGAGACCACTCTGCTCAGCTTCATGGGGAGGTGAGGAGCCTCTGAAAGTGGGTGACAGCAGACACAAAGCAAACACGTGCCCAAACCCTTCCCCCAAAGCCTCTTTCTTCCTTGGGGCATTTCCACTTTGGACAATGTGATGTCACAAGCAGCCTGGTTTTTTCGCTTTCATTGTGAAATTCTGTTTAATTCATTCACAGGTTTGAAAATTCAAATGATAAAAGGAGCAAACATTGCATGTCTTCTTCATGATAGGCTATGATGCTGCTTCCTGTATACCCTTCCTGAGAGGGTCTACAAACCATTACATACACGGAGATCAGCTCCTTTCCTCTTTTCAGAACTGGACCATATATACTTTTATTTCACCCATTATATCAAGAGGATATTACTCCAACTACACACATACGTCTGCCTTCTCCTTATCACTTTTTAACCTAATTTGGTTTCATTTTACTTTTTGTAATGAAAGCATCATGCATATAATTAGGGAGACAACTAAAAAAGTCAAATCCCGCACACATCATCAGCGTGGCTCCTTAAAGCTGCTGCTTCTCTGCCACCCCTTTCTTACCCTAATCGTGCCCAACCCGGCCTTTATGAAGAAGTTCCACCCATTAGGGCAGGCTGGTTTGTGCTCAGGCTGGAATTACCCTTGCAGGCAGCCGTGTGCACCCTTTAAGCTCAGGTACATATCCACCCTTCGCCTGCCTGTCCTGGGCACGCACCTCTCTGGCTGGGAGACTGGGTCAGCAGCTGCACCGCCTTTCGCAAACAAATCAACTTCTGTTGTGGCGACGTGCACTTGTTCAGCTGGGCCAGTTCTCTCTTTGCACGAGGTATGTTGAAGCTGTAAAATAATTTGGGAAGTGACAGCTTAAGATTCCAATTGTGAGGGTCCTTCTTCTTTGATCTAATAACAAACATCTCAAGTTAAACATTTTTCACAACAAACCACAAGGAATGGAAAACCAGAACAGAAACAGAGACATTATCTGACTCAAGTCAGCAGCAAAATACAACGGGCTAAAAGCCAGGTGGTAGTGGTGCAGCTGCACCAGAAATTTAAGAGAAAAGTCAGACTCTGGCCGCAGAGGAAAACAAGCCCTAAGGAGAAAGGGGAGGAAAGCTTGAAATTTACATCAGTCCTACAAGTGGGTGCCACTGTGATGGGCTCTTGTGTTAGGCAGGTGAAGACTGAAGTCTGCATGCAGGACCCAGCTGGGTGAGTTCTGTGCCCACCTGGAAACCAGCTATGCATTACCTATCCTCTTTAGCTACCATCCAGCTGGCATGCTGACATCGAGGGCAGAAGGGCTATGGCTACAGACTGGTCCCCTATCAGCCTGAGCCTTTTCTTTTGGTAACCTGGGACAGCAGGTCTCCACACAGCTAACCGAGTCACGAGTCACGCCGCTGCCCTGCTATGAGGAGCTCCAAGGACATGGAGCTGCTGCAGTGTGGGCCCTTACCTGAACTCAGGTTTCACACCAATATCTTTCTGTTGTAGATCTTGAAGGCTTCTTGTGATTTTGTTAAAGGCAGCATCCTAACAACAGATTTTAATGAAGCTTCAAATTTCTTAAAAGACAGAGAATAAGGCCTCCAACCCAAGGGACGAGGATTCAGAGCTTACCTCACTGGCCTCCATGGTCCCCACATATTTAAAGATCAGATCGTAAATGTCATGATGGACGTACATCTGTGAAATCAAGGGCCCTGTTCAGGGTAGGTGTCGGGGAGCCAGAGGATTCAAGAATTCCCCCACTGCAGTCATGCCTGTTCCCCGAGGCCTCAGCTTCTTACCTCTACTGCCTGCTTCATCAGGTTCATCTGGGGCTCCTGCTTGGCAAGCACTTTCTAGGACAAGAAACACACTCGTAAAGGGTGTGGATTTACAGGTGGGCAGAGTGCAGTGAGCTGCTAAAGAGCCCGCACGACTTACCAGGTGAGAGTCCCGCAGAAGCTGCTGGAGGCATTTGGTGTAGAGAGCGTTCACTGAGTCCTGCGAGACACAGACCAAAAACACTAGTCACCCTCCCCGTCGGAAACCAGAACACAAAACCCAGACTATGCGACATGTCCTGGGAGGAGGAGGGCATTTCACAGAATGCGGCTCCTGGATGACAAGCTGTAAGCACTGATGGGAGTTTATCAAATTACTTTTCAGAAATTAGTGAGGTTTTTTCCCCCAATGTTTTTTGCAGAGAACATGAAAGAATGAGTGCTGTTGTTGTCGTCGTGTACCATGGAGTTGGAACCGACTCACAGCTCACCCCCAGCAGGTTTTCAGAGGCTGCAAATCACATGAGAGGAGACTGCCCATCTTTCACCCCTGGAGCAGCTGGTGAATTTGAACCGTGTGCCTTTAGAGTGGCAGCACATCTCCTTAGCACTAGGCCACCAGAGCTGCCTAAGAGCAGGAAGTAATACCCCATGGGGGTTAACACAGGTGACTGCAGTAGTTATCTTCATTTTCAAGTTTTCTATCATGGATTGTATTACCTTTTAAATTAGAAAGAAACATTTAAAAACTACCAGCAGTGCAAGCAGCAACCAAGATTCCGAGCAGACTGAGAGGGAGGACCCGTGGTTCCCAGAACAGGTTTGAGCCAGGGTGTGTATCCCCGGTGGAGCGGGCACAGCTACTGACTATGTGGTGACGGAGGCTCTTTCTTTCACATTCTCTGAATGTTCGGTGGAAAGAGGCGATGTTCCTGTCAAATCTCTCCGAGTGTCTTCCCAGAAAGTCTCTTACATCTTCGATGGTTTTTAAAGAAAAGGGATCTTGTGGTATGGAAGGCTCTTCTGAAAAAGACACAGAGGGTCAAGCTGGCTCAAGATTCTACTGTTTTCTGATAGAAAAAGGGCTACAACCTAGCTAGACCACTGTGCTGTCAGTGTCTGGAACCCCATCTTCTTGCATTAGCAACATGGGGAAATGTTCTTACTTCAGAATACTGCCCAAGAGCGACTCAGTCCCAGAGCAGGGAGAGGTCCAGAGAAGCCAGGTCCTCTGAGGCCCATTCCTGGAACTCCTGGGGTTGTGTGACCTAGGAGGTTCAAGTGAAGGAGTCCCGACTCCTGGCCATCAGGCTGACAGTCTCAGAGCGCATGTGGCACATCAACTGTTATCTCAACTTCCTGAATAATTTTTATTCATTAAAAATAATGAGATCTCAAATGCACGCAACAATGAGGCTGAACAGGTACTGAAGCTACGAAGAACAAGCCCTAAAGAGACTCAGGGGCAAAGACAACAGCTGTACACAGTTACGCAGATTCTAAAGGGTATACTTCCACCTCACATATTTGATGGTCAGTTTCTAACAGCTGTATCAGGAAGAAGTTCGGCAAACAAATTTCTCCAGATCAAAAAAAAGGCATTTGCCCCCAGAATACCTGAACTCGCCTTCTTTTCCAAAGGATGAGCAATACACAGAACGCTGACGCTCTCTTCCTTCTCGTTGTAGAAGGTTTCCTCAAAAAGAATGGGCACTGAGAGGAGAGAGGTGAAACCAGCTCCCAACTTAATCCTATTTCCTTGAATAAAGACATCCTGGAACAAGAAAGCCGTCATGGTACCAACAGCTCCCTCCAGTCCCGTGCCCACCATGCCTCTGCGCCAGACCCTGCCCTGCCTGTCTTCTACTTGCGTTTACGAGGCTAAAAACTTGTTTGGCTCTACTTGACCCTCAAGTGTCATCCTCTCTCCATTCTGTTCACCGTGTAGCTGTGGCAACCTACTACACTGGTTCCTTTTAGTCAATAGAGCAAAAACAGGACGCTAAGTTTTTTCTTAGAGTCAAAAAAAATCCTATCCCTTTTGGGCAAAGAAAAGAAAAAGTGAAAAGGTTCTCCTATCTGAGTAAGCTCAAAACCACCAGTGCTCTGATGTGGTGGGGCTGAAGGCTCTGCCCCACAGTCCCCTCCTCGCTCAAGTCCCAGCCACCACAGTCCATTCCAGGAGGTGGCTAGGATGGAGCAGCCACGATGGCCCAGACCTCTCTCTTCTTTTTATCAACCTGAGTATCCAAAAGAGAGCAAATAAACCAACAAATGATCAACAACTCCAGTGAACAGATCTACTGAAGAAAAGAGCTACATAACTCGGAAGCCCGGGCCTGCTGAGCCTGCACCCAAGCTCTGTCCCCATCCTTCCTCTCAGCCCACTGCAGTGGCCTCAGCTATCAAATCCAAGAGGCCAGAATCCTGGCCCTCCGCCAGTGACAAAGATAGACTTGACTCATTCCATTGTCTATGGTTAAGGAGGAAATAGAACCACTATGATGGGATGAAACAGTCCCTCTCAAACCATAGGTGCTCCCACTTTCAATGCACACCCCAAAGCTAACTTCAGCAATGAGACAAAAGGCAACATGTCCCCCTGCCAAGACATACTGAGAAAAATATCCAACTGTGGCTTCCCTGCCAAAAACAATGTGACTATGGGGCAGGGGAATCAGAGAAACTGCCACTGAGGGACCGGCCACAGAGAGAAAACTCTCATGTCTTGAGATCAAAATATGGTTCCAGATTAAAAGAGACTAAAGACTAGCAACTAAATGGATTGAGGGGTGAGGGGGAAACCATTTCTGCTGACAAAATTTTTACCAGGTCTCTGCTGGGTAGCAGCATTCTACCAACATTCAGTTTCCTCAATGTGATCATTGAACTGGGGTTAGGGAAAAGAATGCTTGTTCTGAGGAAAACCACACTGAATTATTTAGGGGTAAAGAGACACGATGTCTGCAATATATTCTCCAAAGAGTCAGAAAGAAAAATAAATATCACAGTGTGTGTGACTGGGAAAAAACCCAACTGTGGTGCAAACATTAAGAGTTGGCCAACCTCAGGCAAGGGCACCCGCGTGGTTCTACGTACTTAACTGCAGCTTTCTGCAGGTTTGAAATGACGTCAAAAGAGAAGGTTTGGAAAATGAAAAAGTCACCCTTAATGTCTAATATGTGACCAAGAAACTAAGCAGCTTTTCTGGGCACCGGAGTATAAAGCAGCCAAATGGGTCAGGAACCTCCCAGGAGGCAGAAGCCCCATCCTGAGGGAGGACTTGCAGGCCGCCCCTGTCCATGATTAATCTCACTTTCCTCAAGGCTTCGAAACAGACAGGGGTCCCCTGGCCCCACTGCAAGGGCTGCTGTGTGGTGGTGGTGGTGGTGGTGTTATGTGCTTTTGAGCCGTTTGCGTCTCATAGCGACCCTATGTACAACAGCCCTAAACCGTGCTCTATCCTGTGCCAGTCGCATTGCCTCTGACACACCCATCCTGATTACTACAGTCACTGAATCAATCCACTTCATAGAGGGCCTTCCCCTCCTGCGCTGTCCCTCCACCCTCCCAAGCATGATGTCCCTCTCCAAGGACCTGTCCCTCCTTATAGCATGTCCAAAGTATGTCAGATGGAGCCCCAGAATCCTTGCCTCCAAGAAGCAGCCTGGTTTAACCCTCTCTAGGATGAATCTGTTTGTTTTCTTGACAATCCATGGTACATTCAATACTCTTCTCCAGCACCACAGCTCAAAGGCTGTGTGTACCAGCCACCATTTTACAGAGGTGTGTCACCCTCCTTCCCAGATACCAAGTGAGTGACACTGGTAAACCACCAAAGAAATGCTCACCTTCCCATCCAACGTCTGAAAGTGTTCTTCCACCGGTACCAAAACGTAGGACTCAAAATGACAAGTAGACTGAACACTGCTTGACAGGCTTCCTTTGCAAGGTACTAAGACCTAAAAGAGAACAATTTAGATGAATGTGAGAGAGATGGCTTATTGAGAACTTCAGCACAGGCGACTGTATCCAGTGACACATCCCAGCTGTAACTGTTTTGGGGACCTACTGGCAGAGAACATGATTGGGGTCACTTGCCAAAGTGAGGTCACAGCGACTGAATCAATTTACTGTGATGGGAGCAGATGCCCTTCCACCTCCATGGCTGATGCAGGATGTCTTAACTACTTTTCCAACTTTAGCCATGGGAACAGGCAAATTCACCCTCACACCAACTGGGTCCCACCCCATGGCTAACCCCATGGCCTCCACTCTATTATCAACAGCAATAACAAACATCAACAGGCTCAGGAAAGATTGTTGTTGTTTTGGTTGTTATGTACCACTGAATGACAACCAACTCACATCTGACCCTCCAGCAGGTTTTCAGAGGCAGTGAATCGCACGGGAAGAGAGTGTCTATCTTTCCCCCATGCAGCAGCTGGTGGGTTCGAAACAAGGACCACCGGTTATACCTCAGGCACTGTGTATGGATCTGTGTGTGCCCCAGGGAGTCACATTTTAGGAAGATTCTCTAAGACTAAAGTGTATAGGAAAGGAAAATGACCAAGGTGGCAAAGCCTCACAGAGCCTCAGCCTAAATGGCCCCTCAAAAGCAGAAGCCCAGGTTCCTCTGCTGGCTTCACATGTCCCAGCTAGGTCCCTGCACATGAACTCCGTCTTCCTATCTCCAGTTCCTGTATGTGTAAAGTGGGCACAGGGTTCCTGCCCCACAGGACTGAATGCTGAGAAAATGAAATTAATGAGGTCAGGTCTTGCAAGTCAGCACAGGACATGGTATATGAATTGACTCTTGACGGGACCACCTAGAGCTGGTTCTTTTCCTACTGACTCATTGAGCTCATAACGTGGTCCAGAAGTGCCTGAGGTGTAACTGGTGGTCCTTAAAGAAAAGCCAGCAGCTCTCTGTCCTCGCTGTGCTCACTCTGACATTGATGACCACTGCTTAAGACCAAGAGGTGATTCCAGCCAGAGAAAGTACTAAATCACTCCTCAAGCCTTATCCAAGGATAATGTTGTTAAGTGCCGTCGAGTCGTAGACCACTCATAGCGACCCTATGAATGAAAAGACCTGAACATTTGTATAACTTTCATCATTTATCCAAGTTCATAGAGTTTCTAGAGGCAAACTGTTTCAGAAGTGGATGGCACTCCTGCTTCCAAGTTTGTTTTAATAGGGGGGCTCCACCAAACACTGTCCACCATGGTAACTATTATCGCATTCGATACATCAATGTCACAGTGTTTAGCATCACAGCAACCACGAGTTACCTCTGTATAGCAAACAGACAGACCAGTGCTCTACCACTTAGAAGAATGTTTGACCAAAAACAATTAAAACCAGGCCTGAGGGCCATGGATTAAAATCACCCACCTCTGGCTTGGTGGCATCACTTTCTATCCACGAGGCCCACAGAGCTCTCCCTCCCTGACTCACAGCAATCCTATCAACAGCAGATCTAACCCTTGCCCTATCTTACAACATCCCCACAATCAGACACACGCGTGAGCCCACTGCTACAGTCACTGTATCAGATCAAAATTTAAGTTTCAGAAAGCAATAAAACTCCCCCATTACAAGCTATTCTTCTAATTGCTTGAAATGAGTATGGTCTGGGATTGAAATGGTTGAGTGGGTTAATATCCAAATTTTATACTAATTTTAGTCCTTAGAGAGGGACAGGACATCATGCTTGGGAGGGTGGAGAGACAGCGCAAGAGAGGAAGACCCTCGATAAGACGGACTGATTCAGTGACTGGGGTAGTGGGGGTAGGTGTGTGAGACAGTAAGATTGGCACAGGATAGGGCAGGGTTTAGGGCTATTGTACACAGGGCCATTAGGAGTCATAGGCACTCGACAGTACATAATAACAACATACTAGTTTTTTAGTTGCAGGGGGAAGGGGAGATATTTTAAAAGGACAAAATCTCCTACTTCTGCAAAGCCAAACTCTGCTGTCCTGGCATGGCTCATTCAGCTGGGTAAGAATTTCAAACACAAAGACAAATGGAAAATACAATAAATGAATCTCCATATGCTTAAGCAAGAATTGACAATTCCAACAGTCTGCCATACTCTATTCCTTTAAATAGAGAGCTGCCTACATAGCAATACCATCACAAACAGGCTTTGGAATACTGAGCAAAGGCTATTTCTGTGAGCACCACTGTGTGCTAGGTATTATGTTAAATACTTCATAAAGACATAACCTTGGTCCATCAATCGATAAAGGGAGAAGTAAAGTGTGGTACGTGCACACAACGAATAACCACTGAGTAATTCAGAGAAATAAGGTCTCCAACATCTTACACATTTAATAACTAGCAGGGAAGCAAACAAATGGCAATGAATAGCTTTGCTGAGCTTTCGATTTTTATTATTTATTTCTTCTCTCCTCTGGAAAGTGCTATTTAAAGCACCCCTACGGAGTCAACCCCAGTGCTAATTAGCCCCCCCCGGAAAGAGGAGAACCGTCCCCCAGGGTTTCCTGGGAAGCAATGGCCCCTCCTTCTTGTTTTTATCTTTTTTATTTTATTCTGTTTTTAATGCAAGTTTACAGAAAAGTAGGACTTTCATTCCTTTTTTATTGCATATTTTCCTCCCCCCATTTCACTTTTCTTTAAAAATATTCATTCATTGGTGCACATTCTCCTCTCACGCACCCCTTCTTTGCTATGGACCTCTTATTCTTGACTGTTGTCATACATATAATGCCTAATCATCTATTCCTTTTAAACAGTTCTTTCCCTTCTCTGTTCCAATGCAGTGTTCATTATCTGTCCACTCTTTTCCTATTCTCCTAACCCTCCATGTCAGTCCTAACAGTGGTGTTATGCAGTGTTTGTCCTTTGTGCTGTGCAATGTTTTTCAATTTTTCATGAGTGCTTTGTTTTTCAATGCTGCACAGTATTACACTGTGGACCACAGTCTTGCTATCTGTTTATTAATGGGCACCTGAGCTGTTTGCATCTCTTTGCTGCTGTGAAAAAAGCAGCAATCAATACTAGTGCGCATATGTCTGTTTGAGTGGTAGCTCTGGTTTCATTAGGGCTTATTCCCAGTAGTGGAATTGCTGGATCAAATTGTATTTCTGTTTCCAACTTTTGTGACAGGGCCAGACCGTCTTCCATAGTGGTTGCACCATTTTACACTCCTACCAGCCGTGAGTAAGGGTTCTGGTCTCTCCAAAACCTCACCAGCATTTGGTGTTCACTGCTCTGCTGAAGTGTGCTCTTTATCGCTGGGGTGAGATGGTGTATCATAACTGTTTTGCAAGGAAGCAATCTTTATGAAAGCAGATGGTCACGTCTTCCTCCCATTGAGCAGATAGTAGATTTGAACCGCCAACCTTACAGTTTATCAAATGTGCCACCAGGACTTCTTTAGAAGGTACTAGTGTCTCTATTTTTTTTTTAAATAAGTAGTGAATTTTTATCAAAACAGCAATGAGATATCATCTCCTCAAGCAGCAATATCAAAGTTCCACAGGGCAAAACAACTGCTGGCAAAAGTGTGGAGAGACTGGCACTCTTATACATTAGAAAATGGCAAAACCTCTGTGGAAACAGCATGGCATTTCCTTAAAAAGCTGGAAATAGAAACATTACCTGATCCAGTACTGAGATTCCCATTCTTCACAATATTATCCAAAATTTGTTATGATCCACAGAGTAAAATGTCTCTGCACAATCAGTAAGACACAAGTAAATATGTTTCTGGTATTCTCGGTGATGTTAAGAGCTATGTGACTAGGATTTAAAATACCAGCAGTGTCATCCAGAGAAAAGTATCTAATGGCCTTAGTCTTGGGAGGTGTACCAGTGTCTCTCAGACCAGGAAGGCTGGATTTCTTTTATGATTTTGAGTTTCTGCACTTTTCTCCCATTCTAAAAGTTTCAGCAGAGCTTTTAGACTAGAATAGAAAAGAAGTAGGCCTGAGCATCCACTTCTAAACTAAAAGACCTTAGAAAGAACTTTGTTGGACACAGTGCTGGATGATGCGCCACAGCTTGTAAGGCACTCACACACGAATGGAAAAGAATGGCCTCCGCAGAACAGAGTCTACCATAAAGACACAGATGGGATAAAGCTTTCAACCAGCCTCACCTGCTGATAAGGCAAGCCTCAAAATGAGGAGAAACCACCACAAACATCTATTAACAACTGGAGCATGGAATTTACCAAGCATGAATCTAGTATAATTTCAAGTTGTCAAAATTTAAATAAACAAACATTAGCATGACCTGAAATGGACTCCTACTGGCCATTCTGAATCAGACAATCCTAAGATCTACACACAAATCATGGGTGAATATGTGCTTATGTATGTATGTATTAACTGGAAGGAACTTTTTTTTTTGAAAGGAACTTTTTAATGATCTCAAAAACGCAAAGGAAAAAACTGGTAAATGACTCACAAAAACAATTGATAAAACCAAAAAGGACAGCAAGAAATCAGTCTTCTGACTGCGGAAAGATGGAATGGGTGAGGTTAAAGCTAACTCCAGTTTTCCAGAGAGGCATGCCCTGAAATTTTAAGACTAATAATGGGCAGGGGCTGAGAGCTCACAGAAGGATCTAAACCCTGAGTCCAGTCCCAGGAAGCTTCCTGGAGAAGCCAGCCCAAGGCTACCTCTCTGTGCCCATTCACAGGCTCTGGAAGCTGGACTAAAGTGATCAGGTTTGTAAGTGATTCCTCTAAACATACTTGTGGTGTACCAAACCCCTGGTGTCATCGGCACGGCTGGCTCATCTCTGCCTGACCCAGGAGGGCCATCACCAGGACAGATGCACTTACAATCCCATGGGCTTGGGCCACCATGCTGTACAAGTCAGGACGCCACTTCTGAAGAGCCAGGTAGAACGGATTTTTCAGGAGATCTTCATCATATAGAGCCATATGGACTTCAAAGAGGCCAAACTGGGTTGCCTGGAATTCAGGGAAAAAAAAGAATAAATTACCAGATTTACCTAACATAGGAAAGTCTTAAGCTGGGAATTCTAGGAAGCACTGCTTAAAACAAGAAGTTTCCTGTCACGCAGTCCAAGTACTAATCAACCCAGGTAACCCTCAACCTCCCCAGTCCTGAGACCATAGTACATAGGGTCCCTATGAGTAACAGCAACTCAAGGGCCCATAACAATAGTAGGTTAGTGACAAAGAATTGTGCTGCCATGGCAAAAGAGCACAGTTTGGATACACTGACTGGTCCAAGAAAGAAAGACAGGTAATCTCCTCCTGTGTGATTTACTGTTGTTGTTGCATACCATCGAGTTGGAATGGACCCATACCTCAGATTCCAGCAGATTTTCAGAGGCTGTAAACTGCATGGGAAAGGGATTAATCATCTTTTTCCTATGGGGAAGGTGGTGGATCTGAACTGTGTACCTTCACACTAACAATGCAATTCTTTACCACTAAGCTACCAGAAAGGTAGTGGTCTGTGAAAGAGAGGAAGACTCTCAATCTGATGAACTGACACAGTGATGGCAGTAATGGGTTTGACTGTGTCAGAGATGGTAAGAATGGCATAGGATAGGACGGGATTCAGACGTGTTGTTCACAGGATTGCTATGATGCCCACTCAACTCGACGGCATACAACAAACAACAAGGCAACAGAGCTCCATTCTGTGTGGTTTGCTGGTAGCTCAGCTATGAGTCAGTTCTGACTCAAGTACTTAACAACAACACAGATTTAATATTCCATCTAGAAATATTAACTGTAACTCACCGATTCCAATCTGACTTGTTTATTGGTTAAATAGAGGGAGCACTCCTGACCTGGTCCATAGGGAGCTGCAGTGCTAACCTTAAAGCCAGCAGTTTGAATCCACTAACAGCTCCTCCTCAGGAGAAAGAGGCAATTTCCTCGTGGTTGAGTTACAGCCTCTGAAAACCTGCTGGAGGGCCACCCAGAGTCAGTTCTGACTGCATGGCAATGAGTTACGAAGTTATACATCACATCTAGAAAATCCTATTTAACTCCAAGTCACTACAATTGCAAAAAGTCTGTTTTCTGAACAGTTGTTGTTGTTCTTGTTGTTGTTATGTGCCGTCGAGTCGCTTGCGACTCATAGCGACCCTATGTACAACAGCCCTAAACTCTGCTCTGTCCTGTGCCAATCGCACT